ATTTTACTGCAGATAAAAGATTTAGCTTCTACAAGTTTTTGCTCTCCAATGTTAAAGTAACCTCTATAGCCCAAGTCTTGCATTTAACCAATTGCAGACCTCATCCATCTCTTTAGGCACAGTATAATGACCAAGCCTGTACACACAAAAGATTTATGGCATACTTAATTTCACTACTTAACAGGATTGAACACTATGCAATAGATAAAATACCCGTCATAGTATTTAAATGCTAGGTTTTGAAATCCAGCTAAGCTCAAAGCATGATTCGACCTTTCTCCATGTGTATGAGGAACCACTTCATCACCTGTTAAAAGGCAAAAGTGAGGTCAATCAATTCGTAGAAATCTAGGAGACTTTCATTAGTACTTGTACATACACACACATCAAACAGCAACAAATTAAGGTTTGTTTTCATTAGATTTGGGTTGGCCATACATTTTTTTTGGTCACGTCATTAAGTTCATTGCTGGATCTAGTGGAAGATCCTGAACACCTGCGATGTGCTGTATCAGTTTTGGTTTACTCCTCTCTAATCTAGTCTATTTTACTAATATATCCGCCATAATTTTTCACAGCCCTCCCAAGCCTCTAAAAAGGGTTGTGGTTGGTTGACGAGCGACATAAAAGTTCGTCTGATCCTATTCAATGAATCCTAATATACATTTCGCTGGGGTGATATTTTGATGAATTAAATGGAATATGTATAAGATTCATATGGCCAACTCTAAATTTGTTGAAACTAAAACTAGTTTGTTATTGTCACACGTGTGTGCACGCGCACGATAACGCCAAACAAATGGGTTATAGGATCATCATAATGTCGGCTCTTCTTGTTTAATGACTAGCAGTTTTCCTGTGAATAATAGTTCAGTTTCTCAGTATTGCAGAAAAACAAAAGAGCTCCTAGATAAATCAAACAATTAATGTTGAGGATGAGGATTTCTGACCCATTTTCGACGTGCATTATTGTGTATAGGAATAACAAAGACATTTAAGGAATTTAGAATCTAACAAAAATATGAAGTATTCAACATCTTGGAAAGCAGAATACACTTACAAAGTCCATGGCACAGCAAAATGGGAAGAGATGCAGCACGTCTTGCAGCCTCATGTGATCCTTGGATCTTGTTTCTCATATTTCTGATAAAACATGAGTAAGAAAGTGAGTCTTACCATGTATGAATATTGACAACGTGTTTGGGAAGATGAGCTGGACAATATTGGATAGTATTAAGGAACAAGAAGTGTAAATCGTACTATCCAATCTAGTGGAGACACCGTGTTAAGAAGAAACTGAATTAAAAAATTTATTCATTAGAATGTTCGTTATTGCTTACCAATCATACGCATGTGACATGTTTGATAAGGTAGATTAAAAACCATTGGATAGTATTAGCGAAGATTTTTGTTCGTGTATTGTCCAATACAATATTGTGTACTAAATATGCATTGAGAAGCACATCCTACCTAGCGCCAGGAAGCCAACCACTTAAACCAATAATTGTCCTTAGGCAAACAGGGTAAGGGCTGCCATTTCCATAATTTCCCTGTGCAAAGCAAGTTGCAGAATAAAGGGCAGTGGCAGCTCCCATACTGAAGCCTCCAATACCAAGTTTAACTGTATTAGACGCAGTGAACCGAGATTTAGAATTAAGGATATAATCGTCTTTATAATACAAATCAATGGTGCTACAAAATTATAAAGTTGGGATCAATGGTGTAACCTTACCAGCATAAAATTTTCTAGTATGATGAATCTTACGTCGTTTGAAATTGGTGAAAATCAGAAAAACGGGAGACAAGAAAAAGATACTAAAGGATTCTTATACTGTATGCAGTAGAGTGAACTAGCTGTCATATAGTCCTCTCTCTCCTGCCCGTTGAAAAGAAATATTATTGTATTCCTAAAGTTCAATAAGCCTTTGGATATTAGTGAACTGTGCTTAGATGGAAAAACAGCATTATATCTTACTATCAGCAGGCTCTGTAGACAGTAAGTTTGCAACATGTGCTGCTGAAGAGTCTAAACCCTCTAAATCATCTGGACAATCTTCTGAAAGCTCTCCCATATCAAACCCTGAGTAAAATACAAAAAAGAAACGTGGTTTTAAATAGTAATTAATCAAAATCCCCGAACTTAAATTATTCCGTATACTCATACGGGAAATGTTAGAGGTACATAATTTTTTGTATATAAGAGTGTCCACTCTTTCACGTGGATGGAGCCCCTCGAATAAAATATTGAAGTGGGCTCCACCCAATGTGAGAGGGTGGATCATAGTTAGAAAACCCGGACTAGACCGGCCGGTTCGGTCTGGAACCCGTCGGACCGGACCTGACCCTGGTCCGGTCTATGGCTGAACAATCAGCCCTCTATCAACCCGTTTGAAACGCCGATTTTTCATAAAAACCAGGTACCACTTTCCCTTTGACCTGACCAGGTCTTTATTAACTTGTGTTTCTTTCCAGTTTTCAGTTTCCACCTTCCCGGTTTCCCCACTCCCGTCTCCTCACAACTTCTAAAACATTAGGGATTGTTGCAAAATCAAAAAGCTAAGCCACCGTCTCCAATCTCTTGCAATTCAACAACTCCAAAAAATCCAATCTCTAATTTCAAGTTTTAAGATATGGAATCCATGAAACAATAGCCCTCATGTTGCAGTGGTTGATGAACAAGCAAGCCCAAAAGAATATGAAATCCATGCGAGTAGGGGACCTTTCTTTTTTTTTTCTACCATTCGGGCATGAAAGCCGGTTGCGTGGTGGGCGTGGTCTGTGTGGAGAAGGATGTTTGGAGAAAAGTTTGTGAGATGGGTGGTGGATATGATGGGGACAATGGCGGTCATTATGCTTAATGGTGATTAGGGGGTGCTCTAAAGGTTTAGTTGTAATTACTGACTTTTTGGAAGGGGTGCTTCTAGGCTAGCAAGTAGCAACATCTTTATTTTGGCTATGGGGGATATGCTCTAAAGGTGTTTGATATTTTGTAGCAAAGGGGATATGTTAATAGTTGTAATCACTGCAACGTCTTTATTTTAGGCTAGCAACATCCTTATTTTGGCTATGAAATCTTCTATAATGTGTGATATGATGATTGGAATCAAGGAACTTTAAGCAATTTTTGCATCTTAGAGATGTAATGAATGATTGGGTTTAAGGATATTTAAAAAAAGTCTTGAATTTAAGTATTTTGTTGATGAATTTCAAATTTGCGCCATTGAAATATATGAAATAAGATTTTTTGTGCAACTTTAAAGTGATCTAGTGTTTGTTGATTTTTTTTCATAAGGTTGTTCTTTAGCCACCAGAATAACATAAGTAAATTTAGTTGGTGGTAAATATATTTGACGAGAATTGATCCATCGGTTGAACCACCGGGTCACCGATTGACCCGTTGCGTTGTCCGGGTCAATGCCCAATTCGGGTCTGATAAGTATGGGATGGATACCCTTATGTATAAAAATTTATGTACATGTATCTTTATCCATTCTCTTACATGCAGTGCAAGGAAATCCACCAAGTAAAGCCACAGGGCGAGTAGGAGCAGTAGGACAAATCCATTTTATCTGCAAATTTAATTAAATTCAACACAACAATTAGCAGGGTGAGATTACAACAATCAACACAATAACTTGTTTACAATAAATTTAGGTCGGCTAGTTAGTGGGGTGGGGGAAATCTTCCCTAGAGGCTGATGGTGTAGTTATCAATAAGCTCTAATGTATCTCGAAGAAATTATCTTACATTTGGAAGAGGGAGACTTTCCAAGAGTTGTGACCAGCTGTGGAATAAAATTCAGAAAAAATATTAGGCAATTCATTTCTTTCTTGCTGTTTTCAACCGTTAAATAATTGCAATAATAACACTTAATCAACCTTGCCAAATATGCCATATGTAATTCTGGAGCATCAGTTCTTTCTCATCACATCAATTTTTTTATTTTATTTTTAATTACGAGTAATTTTACAGGGGTAAAGCTTTATCCCATCTACTGTATTTTTACAAGAATCTCAGTGTAGAAACATAGCCATGTTTGATTTATTATATTATTTTATTCTCGTACAATGATTTTAACCTTTTTTTTTTTTACCAATATTCATAGCTGTCTAATACAGACTGCCAAACATGTAACACGTGTTTAGCACATGATTAGCTTGATATAAATTATGAAGCCATTGACTTTCTTTTAGATCAACCTTTTCTCTTCCTTTCAAAAAAGTGCTTCGTTGATTACCACTTTATGACTACATACAAATCACAAAGAAAAGACACTAGTAAAAAGATCAACACAGCACGCCAGTGATATACAAACAGTGCTAATTTAAACTTCTCTTCATTTTTTGCCTAAGAAGGATTGAGAAATTGAAGGGTTAAACCAGGTATATTATAATTTATATACTCATATATTTTCGTATAATACTGGGGTTAACAGTATAAATCTTTTTTTGTCACTCTCTTCTATTTATTACTAGATCTAGTGAAAAATATAGAGCAACGAGATTCTTAACATATATATTATTCTGTAGGAGTTTTATCAATTCTTACATTTTCAGTATCTCTAAACTAACTCAGAATGAGCATGTTGTGCTAAGATTAAACAAAAGCAGAAGTACTTTTTGGAAAAGTAATTAAGGACTTGCTTTGTACAAAAGTTTGTGAAAAGAAGTTACTTTGAAACGTGTCTGTGAGAAGAAAAGTACTTTAGGTTTAGCCAAATATGCTAGAGAAATCCTACCTGGAACCATTATCACCAAGTCCATGAAGCCAAACTATTGTAGCCTGGTGTTTCCCTTTAGGCCTTACAACATATGTCCTCCCAAACTCAAATGCCCTTCTATCAGTTCTACTTCCTGCAAATTTTATTCATGAAAGTCATTCTTATATCTATCAGTCAGATAATCTAAAAAACTTTTATGGCTTGTTTGGAACGTTAGACTGTATAGGATCGAAGGAGAAAATAAGTTATAACTATTATCCATTACTGATTACCCAACATGTTTCTTAACGAACACTAACATAATCATTTAATGCTAAAAGCAAAGAGAAGTTTCCAACTGACCAGAGCCCATAGATGAGTTTGTATAGCTCATATTAGCCACTAGAGATGGAATTGCACCTTCCAACACTTATAAGACAGCCTAGTAATGGTAAACTGAAAATAGGTAAATGCAATGAGGACAACAGAAACTGGCAGTCCCCTATTTATACTCATAAGTTAGGTTGAAAATATATACACAAACATATATTATGTATAGAGAGAGGAGGTGGGTGAGGGCATCCATGAAAAGGAGAGGTAAAGAAGATGACAAAAAGTGGGCAATCTTTTCATAAACAGAGAGAGAGAATCAAAGGAGAATAATAACAAGGCAGCAGACCTACATTTTTTACAGCATAGAAGAGAATCAATACTTATGGGCTGTGGTGGCAGATAAATAAAGACCCCACAGCTGAAATTTCAAGAATATTTTCTGAAAACTTCAAGGAATAATTCAATTTGGCAAAATGAAAATCTTGGCCTCAATCATTTGTTTATGTATTTCTGATGATTGATGGATACCCATTAACTTAAAAATTTTAAAATTTACCTATTCAATTTATCATCATTGTGCCACATCATATTTCTGACACTAATGGGAATAATGTGTTTGAATAAACCAAAGCTATGAAATCTGGTGGTGCATGTTTTCTTAATGATATACATGTTTGTTTGTATATATATCATGCTTCATACAAGCATGTGCGGGCATTGAATTGCGTCTGTAGTTGTGACTGTCGTTGCACTACAAATTGTTGCAGTATACTCTAGCTTTCCTCGTGCTTGACAAAAGCAAGTATATATTGGTATCAGAAAATATAGAATTGTTGAGTTACTTGGACTTCTTGGACGAGAGAGGAACAATAATAGGAAAGGTCCATGAATCTATTTCTCTCCCTCTCTCTCTTGCTTTTTCTTGCTTGCCACTTATAATTGGATAACTCAAGTCTAACATTCATAATGAGCTTTACTTAGCAAATATCACCCCTTCAAGATTTGTTTGTTTTATACTCACGAGAGACTCCCAAAGCGTTCGAAGAGTCCAAAACTGGACCTTTCAGTGCATGACATATGGTTGCTTTCGATGTTAGTGTATGTCATGTCACTAAAATTACGAGTGGCGCGCGTTTTCAAAACGACGAGTGATGAGTGACGAAAGGATAGCATTTCGTGAAACTTAATGACAACTTGAAAAACTTTTAAAATTCAACTGTAATTGGATAACATTAAGTTTAGTGGGATATATATGAAAACATTATCGATTTGAGGTATTTATAATTTTGAGAAACATATATATATCGCGTGTGTGCACACATATATATATCGCGCGCGCGCGTACACAAACATATATATATATATATATATATGAGATTCATATAAAATTTCAAGATATGTATTGTATTATTTATTTATTGATTTAGAATTATCAAAATAATATTAAAAATAGAAATATATTTTATGCTTGACTTCACGCTTTGTCATCCCTTGAGTCTTTTCGAAGGCGGAGTAAAACAATTGGCACAAAAGAGTTGCAAGTGACTCGGACAGAAAACTGGTGGCCCGTGAAGATTGGATCTTTCAGCCCATTCAATCTCTTTGTTTTGTCGTCAGCTGGGCCCACATTTTATTCAACAATCATTCTTATCGTGGACTAAGTAAAGTAATTAACATTTAATAAGGTCTTAATCATGAAGAATTTGAAACTAATTTCGTTTAAAAATGGATTATGGGATTATATGTTGGACTAACTTTCAATTGTGCAATGATGTGCAAAAGCCAAAAATGCAGGTAATGTGTTTCGTTTGTCTCATTTAAAAAACAAAATATATATATACACCACTCGAGATACGTTTATTTAAGTTTACAAGAAAGTCGAACTTACTTTTGAATAACTTCTTATCTTATTTCTTGAGTGTATAGATATAATTATAACCTTTCTTTTTTTTGAAAAAGTTGCGATTTTGTCAAGTTAAGCATAAGAATAAAGAGTTTATAAATATAAATTTTTACTTATTTTATTCTTTTTTTACTATAGAAGGGATGTCGTCGTAAAAATAAGTACAAGAATAAGTTCGGCCGACAAAATACCTAAAATATGGTAAGAGTATCTTACGTTTTGATTAAGAAGACTTCTTTATGTCATTTCTCCCCTCCTTTTAGGAAGTAACTTTTGTATGTCAACTCCACTAGTCCCAAATACAACAAAAGGAGAATCCACATTACTTAGATACTGTTAATATACTCTAATTTTCCTACTTAATTTAATTAAAGATAAAGTATATGCCATTAGCACTACCTACAATTTTATAAATTTAAAAAAATTGAGCGTAATTCTTTGTACAAAGTCTTGAAAAACAATTTACTTCAATTTTGCAAAATGATATTCTTGTAAAAATGTAATAATTCATTAATTTTGTTTACTATTTTATTTGTTTATTGAGAGAGAACTAAAGCTTGGCAGAATCTTGAAAAGATTTATGTTGCAAATTTTCCCCTACAACGGTTTTAATCATGAAGATTCTTGGTTTTTTTCTTTTAGACCTTAAAAATTCATTTTTATAGCTACTAGAATTTTAGTTATACGAATAATGAACCTACGAGGGAAAACTCTGCTACAATCATTACATGTACGAAAACATAGTTGCAAGATTTATTCATCACATTTGACAAAATTTTATATCATTTGTCCATCAATCTATATAATCCTCCTTCATCCAACCATATTATGTCCACTCGATTGGCCAAAAAAAAAAAAGGAAATTGGGGAAATGAAACAAGAAAAGGGAGAGGAAAAAATTACACTTGAGAAAGGACTAAAACCCAGGTGGGGTGGTGGGTACCCAAAAGGAGACTCTTCCTCTCGAGATAAACTAAAGGAGAAAAAGAATGAAGTGATTTTGAATTTCATGAAATGCTTCAACTCAACCTCCTTCATTTGATGGGGCCTGATGAAGATCAGAGAAGCCAAACATTAAAATTATTACACATTACCTGGAAATCAAACATCAGATGGCAAAATGAACGAACGAAAAATGTTTCATGTTTTGATTAAAGATTGATTTGAAAAGAAACAAAACTACTAATAATATTCATCCAACTAATAATTGTGCTTTATATTTTATTTTTGGGTACAATACCGTTACTTCTTGAAGTTTACTGCACCAAGGCAATTGTTTAACAAAGAAGAGAGCTAAGACAAGCTCAAGTCATTCAAGGACGGTCTTTTCCACGAGAAACTGATGCCAGAAAGGCTGTAGCAAACCTAGGAGTTCTATTGAATTTTATTTATTTATTTATTTATTTTACCCTCTCTTTCAAATGAGACTCGAACCCAAGTCACTGACCTTATAAGGCTTTGCTTTTACCACTTGAGCTAGGCCTTTATCTCGAGATGTAGTAATTTTTACATATACAATCTACTTAATATTAAAACCCATGATTTAGATGTCCTGCACCAAGGCAATTGTTTAACAAAGAAGAGAGCTAAGACAAGCTCAAGTCATTCAAGGACGGTCTTTTCCACGAGAAACTGACGCCAGAAAGGCTGTAGCAAACCTAGGAGTTCTGTTGAATTTTATTTATTTATTTATTTTACCCTCTCTTTCAAATGAGACTCGAACCCAGGTCACTGACCTTATAAGGCTTTGCTTTTACCACTTGAGCTAGGCCTTTATCTCGAGATGTAGTAATTTTTACATATACAATCTACTTAATATTAAAACCCATGATTTAGACGTATGTAGATAAGCCGGTGGCAATCATAACCATGCCCATCTGCTTTTTCTTTCTTCTTTTTGTCGTGCGCAAGGGAATTAAAAGAACCATTATTTACACATGGCACGACTCCAGGGAATTTTATAACCATACCCAAGGTTAGACGAAAGAAAATTATTTTTGCTGCTAAATGGAAAAAGAAATAAAAGTATATGCCACTACACACCAGGCCTACTAAAATCAAGCTAGATTGAAGGTTTAAGTAAAACTGATTGGCCATTCACATTAACACGAGTCGATTCAATATAGGTTAAAGGTGTCATGTAAGAGGGTAGAGAGTGCAGATTATAGAATTTTTTAAAGAAACTACATTGAGGTAGGTAGTAATCAATTGAAAATGTATCATCGTGTCTGTCTAACCATGCAAAGGAACTGGCTCAATTCAAACTTCATTAAGCTGAACTTGCAGAACCAGAGAACAAGAAAAGACAGAAGGAAAAAATAGAAAACAAATATTAAATATGTTAAGCTAAAGCTTTTGCTCTTTCAAACTGATATAATTACTTAAATTATTTAAATTATCTTGGAGATTGGAAAACCCATGTGTGGAAAATCACATAAAATACGATTAAGCATAGATATATTAATGGACCATGCTACATGAACATTAAGGGCTACATCGGGGGCTACATAATGGACATGCTGCCGCACCTCAGGCCCACAGGCGCCTCACCAATCGCGAGGCGCCGGGTGTCCATTATGTAGCCCCCTATGTAGCCCCTTATGTTCATCTAGCATTTTCCTATATTAATATACAATAACTAACAAAATATAAAATAGTTAGCCAAAAACTGGAACAAAAGTAAAGACCTGCTTTTTATTTAACCACAGATATGGAGAGTTTCTATAAATGGTGACTTCAACGTATGTGTGTGTACACACACACTACCCAAGATAATAGGATCTATTTCCTCAAAAATTTTATATACGTGAAATAAATGAAAGGATTCTACATCAAAATTTCAAAACCACAAGACATTTGCACAGTAGTGATGGTACAGAGAGAGAGTGTTGTTAAAATACCTTGTAGAGGTATAAGACTTCAGTTGTTAGCTAAGAAGCATCAAACCATGCACATCGATTAACTGCTTGAGTAATCTCTGTCGGTAGTAGAGGTTGAACCAACTTCTTTCCAAGTGAAATGCGTGATAGTATTCTTGCAAAGGCAGGAACAGTTCTCTTGACAAGCTAACATTCAGCAATACGTTCCCCTTCAGTCTGAGTGACATGCCATCATATATTATTTCCAGAGGTCTGTAACTTCTTCACTGACCAAAATTATTTTGGAATCAAATGAAATACTTATTTTCAATCATCAGCATCATAATTATTCCACATCAACATAGTATTTTAACAATTTATGACTCCACTAAAAAAGGGAAATGAACTCCCAAAAGCTCCAGGGTTGTACATTCTTTTCCTGTGGCCTATGAACATATTACAATTAAGTTATCATCTACGCACATCAATTGTTACATCTTCTTTTACCAATATCTACAAGCTTTTAAACTTTATACCT